GAATCAGGAGGGACTAGGTTGTGGTCCTGTTTGAGGACAGGAGGGAAACCAGAAGATTGCCCCACTCCCACCCCCCTCGCTTCGCTAGGTAGCCTGATTAACATTCTAGCTTGTCTCCTGGGAGGAGAGGGCAGTTAATGTTTTCTGGGAGGGGTGTTTAACGGTTTACCTTTTCCTGTTCATCATTAGGATAATTATGTTTAATCTCAGCCCTAAAACAGAGGGGTGGTTCCCATATTTGTCTGTACTTTGAGATCACCTGTTGTTGTTAAGTTCTGTCAAATCAGTTCCAACTCACAGTGACCTTGAATAGGATTTCTGAGACTGTAAATCTTTGCAGGAACAGAAAGCCTCATCTTTCTCCCAGGGAACAACTGGTGAGCTCAAACCACCAATCTTATGGTCCGTAGTCCAGTGCTTATCCTACATATCCACAGCATTCTCATTTGAGATCACGTCCTGGTGTGGCGCTGTGGGTTAATGTGCTGGACTGCAAAGTTGTTTTAAACCACAAGGTCGGCGGTTCAAGCTCACCAACCCTATACAGAAACCCTATACAGGTTCGCAGCCAACTCAGGGGCACTTAACAACATGGAACTTCTGGTGTGTGTCCATGGAGTCCTGGTATGACACTGTGGGATAATGCGCTGGACCACAGGGTCAATGTAGACCGCAGGTTGGAGGTTCAAACGCACCAACCACCCTTGGAAACCCTATGTAGGGTCACTATGAATCAGAACCAACTCAACGGCATTAAACAACAACAGCAAGGGAGCTTCCTGGTGTGGCACTGTAGGATAAGCACTGGACTGCTAACCACAAGGTTGGTGGTTCACACCCACAAGCTAGTCTTTGGAAACCTGATGCAGGGTCGCTGTGAGTCAGAAGTGACTTGACAGAACTTAACAGGGAGCTAAAAAATAAAATCTGAATGCCTGTGCCCCAGCCCCCAGAAAGAGTGGCCTGGCTTTGGAACTTTAAACAGTTCCTCTATTGATGCTACTGTTCAGACAAGTTTAAGAAACCCTGACATAAAGTCTGCTGTGAACTGAGCATTCGTATTTGTGGAATGTACTATGTTGTTGTTAACTGCCATCGAGGTAGTTCCAATTCAGGGCAATCTGTATAAGATTTCTAAGGAGTGACTGGTGGGTTTGAACGGCCAACCTTTCAGTTACCAGTCCAGTGCTTATCCTACAGTGCCACACCAAAACTCCATATGACCTAGCAATTTTATTCCTAGGTAGATACCCCAAAGAACTGAAAGCAAGGACACAAACAGATATGCACACCACTGTTCATATCAGCACTAGTCCTAAGAACCCAAAGGTGTAGAAACAATCCTGGTGTCCATCACCAGATGAATGGATAAAAAAGTGTGGCCTGTCCATACAATGGACTATTATTCAGCCATAAAGAGAAATGAAGTATTGACACATGATATAGTACACATGACCTTGAAGACATTATTCTGAGTGACATAGGTTAGACACAAAAGGATACATTTTGTATGATTGTACTTGTATCTAGAACAGGCAAATGCTTGAAGACAAAAATATATCAGTAGTCCCCAGGATGGGGGAACTAGGGAGTATTGGACTTTTGTGTGGAGTGATGACAAAATCTGGAAATGGGTTATGGTGAGAATTCACAACATGATGGATATAATTGATGTCACTGAATTGTCCGCGTAAAAATGACTGAAATCGCAAATGCTTTGTTTTACATATATATATATATATATATCATTGTTATGTGCTGTGGAGTCGGATCTGACTCATAGCAACCCTGTACAGGGTTTCCGAGGCTATAAATCTTTACAGGAGCAGAAAGCCTCATCTTTCTCCCGCGGAGCAGCTGGTAGTTTCGAACTGCTGACCATGAGATTAGCAGCCCAATTCCTAACCACTACACTACCAGAGCTCCTTCTGACTCATAGCGAGTCTGTATAGGGTTTCCGAGGCTGTGAATTTTGACAGAAGCAGAAAGGTTCATCCTTTCCCCAGTGGAGCCCCTGGTAGCTGGAGCAGCCCATAATTCACTAACACTACCAGAGCTCCTTCATATATGAACTAAGTAAGACAAATCAGTGCTTGGCACATACTAGGTTTTCCACACCTTTTGTCTCCCTTCCCTTCTCATCTGTTTATTGCAGGGGACAGAATGAGATTCCAGTAATGACTACCAGTCATGGCCAGGCACATAGGAGAATGCAGAAAGCTTTGGTCTCCTGTGATGGTATAACCCATGGAAAGAGAAGTAGAGAATGAGGCAAAGATCAGGCACACTGCACGGGGTGACCCACGGAGATCCAGTTCTAGGACTGATCAGTCTGATTTCCAGCGCTGTACTGTAAAGCCGCAGAATGCTAATTGTAATGTAACCTTGGAAACCGGAGTGCACAGTGTGCTCCCTCTGGGGCCAATACTAGAGTGATTCAGGAATACAAAGGATAAGTCCGAGGCAGGGTTTCAACGAGTCCTGAGTGCTCTAGTTTTTTGGCTTTTATTTTTAACATTTATTGCAGTAAATCCTTTGTTTGGTGTTCCTTGGATCAGCCATCTGAATGTATCAAAGTTCCAAAAAGTTGAATATGCAGTTTATGGATCTCAGTGTTCTTTAATGGCTTTGGAAGAGAGGCTCTGAATTCTAAGAGATGACAGAACCACTAAGATTTAGAAACAGGTCCGACTCCCCTTTCCACAAACCAGGACTATAATGCTGCCATGTTTCAGATGGGGCAGGGTGGTTCTAATATTATGCTATGAGTTTTTTACATGCTTACAAGTAAAAGTAATACTACATGGTTTTCGGCATCTGGAGTTGAGGGCTAGAAATCGTGTGTGATGCATTGAGGTAATATTTTCTTTATGATTCAGAGTAAATTCTCAAATTTCACCCCATAATATAATAGAAAACATTTAAGATACTGAAACAAATTTATTGGTCAGTTTCATTTTCTTGACCCAAGAAGCCTTATGGAGTCAGGCTGAGCTTTCTTAGAAACAAAAAACCATTACAAATTATATCTTCATAAGACTAGACCTCCAGCCTGCTGAGGTTTTAAGACATGCATTCTGAATAAGAGAAGACTCTTTTCTTTTCAGTGTAATTCTGTACTTAATGGGGATTATGGGAGTACTTTGAAAATAGCATGGCTTTTTTTTTCCAACAGAAAACTACTACAGATAAAAACACCCTGATTTTGATACTGAGTTGTTGGTAAAAAATAAAAATAGATGTATTTGCTACAGGATAATACACTGGACTGCAAGGCTGGTTTCAAACGCTAGGTCGGCACTTCAGACTCACCAGCTGCTCCTCAGAAACCCTATACGGAACCCACTCTATGACACTTAACAACAACAACAATTAATAAATGTTGTTGTTGTCAAGTGCCATCCATCGAGTCGATTCCGGCCCATAGCGACCCTATATAGGGTTTCCAAGGAGCAGCTGGTGAGCTTGAACCGCCGACCTTGCAGGTCAAATGACTTTACAGTCTGGCGCATTAACCCACAGCACCAGGGATCTTTATTTATTAGTTAGCACTAAATAATGTAGAGAGTCCTGGTGTGGCGCTGTGGGTTAATGCGCCAGACTGCAAAGCTGTTTGAACTGCAAGGTCGGCAGTTCAAGCTCACCAGCCGCTCCTCGGAAACCCTATACAGGGTCGCTGTGGGTTGGAACCGACTTGATGGCACTTAACAACAACAACAAAATAATGTGGAGGTTTCCCCCCAATAACCTAACACTGGCATTGAAAATTTGTGAGCCTGAACCACATTTCCATCACACCCAAATTTTAAACTTCTTGGGTTTTGTTTTCTTTTTATTGAATTGACTATAATTCCTTATCATAGGTATCCAGTTTTACTTTAGCATTTAAAAGTAGAATGGCATTTATCCCAAGTCTGTTGTATCTTTTCTGGTTTTGTCCTACTTGTTTTAAACTCTGAGAGAATGGTCATCTATGAGAACGATTAAAAACATTAAAATGAATTCCTTGGTTTGCTATATTATTCTTTACTTTTTCTATATGTTTGAAACTTCACAAGGGTAAAATATTTTTAAAAGACAAGCAAAAAATTTACAAAAACAAATTACTTCTTTTTGCTATCACCTTTTAGTTCCGTTTGAATTTATTTTTGTTGTTAAGTGCTATTCAGTGGGTTTCTGAGGAGTGGCTGGTGAGTTTGAACCACTGACCCTGTGGTTCAAACCAACCTTTTGGTCCAGTGCACTATCCTGCAGTGCCACAGAGGCAGGACTCCTGAATTTGTTAGAACTTAATACTTACCACACAAGGGCTGCATTTTTGCATATCAGAGAATACAAGGGTAAGTATAGTTCTTGCTCAGGAAAGATCTAATTCTGGTTAGTTTACGAATAGCACTGAGTGAGCCACCAGCTGGGTTCTGAACCCTGGTCGCCTCCAGGTATGACAAGCATCCAGGATGCATAAGTACCTTGTTGGGGTCTGTATGAGACATGCATATTTGAAAATTGAGTTCCAGAGAAAGGGTTTCAGGATCTCATTTCCTTAGTGTTTCGAAAAAGGATCAGAAATACCTACTAACCACTGCATATTTTTGACTGCTTTCTTTCTCTTTGGTGGTTGCAATTCTTGGTCTTCCCAAAAGCTGATCCTCTTATCAAATGGATTGCTTTTTTCTCATGATCCGAAATCGGTCAAGACCCTGAGCTTTGGGCATGAACATGTGCTATGGCTATTTGGTGCTGAGATGGCAGGGTGAATACCTCCTAGCCCTGCACAGCCCACATGCAGGGTGACAAAGCCATGTCCTTGTCCACGTTCCTAGCCCCACGTCCTCTCTATCCGGCCATAATGCACAAGCGTGCCCTTTGGTGAGCCATTGTGATCTTGAGCCCATTCCCTCATTGCCAGTAGGTTGTAAGGGACACTGGTAGTGTGCCAGCTTTTAGCAAGAACATCCATCTCTATACAAACAGTGTTTTCTGCCTTCTGTCTCCCACAGGGTCCAGTAGCATCAACCACATCAGCCTTGTCTGCCCTCTCCCCTGCACCTGGCCTTACTCTGCCCCCTCCTCCACCCCCGCCTCCTGGACCACCTCCACTTTTTGATAATGAAGACAGGAAAGAAGAGTCCTCTCCTTCCCGCTCAGCTTTATTTGCTCAGCTTAACCAGGGAGAAGCAATTACAAATGGTGAGAAAACAGGACCATGATGCTATCTCCCTTTGCAGGCACTCCGATCGTCTAGAGATGCACATTGATGCATACATCATTCCGTCCCCGTCCCTATTCAACACACGGGGAACTGCTGCTAGGAAATCAGATGCATATGGTATGCTTGATCTCTGACTCAGTGGACTTTCAAGTGGAACAGAAAGGCATACCCAAAGACTCTGGGTTCTAAATCTGCCCCTGTACTGCATCACCACCTCAACCCCATCATCTATCTACAAGGAGCAAGACCAAGTGAAAGGAAAATGGCAAGACAAGCAGTAGCATTCCTGTCCTCAGGCAGTGTCCAGACTTGTCAATGAATTCCATTCTTTGAACTACCTCTGTCCTCATGAAGAATGGCTCATTTATAAAGAAATACGGCCCACATACACTTATTACCATCATTTATTTATTTTCAAATTATCCATTGCTCATGAGGGTGAAGGTAGTTCGATTATGTATATCCCCAGACAAATCCATTGTTGAGTCGATTCCATAGGGACCCCATAAGACAGAGTAGAACTGCTCCATAGGATTCCCAAGGCTGTAAATCTTTATGGAAACAAATTACCACATCTTTCTCCTTCAGAATAGTTGGTGGGTTCAAACTACTGACCTTTTGGGTAGCAACCCAGTGTTTAACCACTGTGCCACCAGGGATGCATGGGTGTTATGTGTGTAATCCATCCAAAGGTGCCTTGCAAAAAAGGCTTGATCTATTTCCAAAATCTCAGCCAATGAAAATGCTGTGGAGCACAGTTCTACTGTAAAACACACAGGGTCACCATGAGTCAGAATTCATGATAACTGATTTTATAGATTTGGTGGTGGTGGTTATGTGCTGTGGAGTCGATTCTCCTGTATGGGTTTCTGAGGCTGTAAATCTTTACGGGAGCAGAAAGCCTCCTCTTTCTCCTGTGAAACAGCTGGTAGTTTCGAACTGCTGACCTTGACATTGGCAGCCTGATTCGTAACCACTACACTACAAGCATTTATATATATATACATATACATATATCATGTTGTTGTTGTTGTTAAGTGCCGTCGAGTCAGTTCCGACCCATAGCGACCCTGTACAGGGTTTCCGATAGAACATTTAAAAACACCCCATCCCCCACTGGTGCTGTAGAATAAGCACTGGACTGTTAACTTCAAGGTCGACAATTCAAACCCACCAGTCACTTCTCAGAAGAAAACGGAGGCTTTGTGCTCCCGTTATGATTTACAGCCCTGGAAACCCTATACATGGTCTCTCATTAAACAGAATTGACTCAATGGCGGTAGGTTTGGCTGGCACATTAGGAGTCCTGGTGGTACAGCGTTGGGCTGCTAACGGAAAGGTCAGAGGTTCGAACCTACCAGCCATTCTTTGAGAGAACTATGAGACTGTCTGCTTCTGTGAAGATGTCTCAGAAACCCTAAGGAGCAGTTCTTCTCTGCCCTCTATGGCCTCTTTGAGTCAGAACCTACTCGACCGCACTGGGTTTGGTTTTGGGGAGGCAATGATTACATGCTCTGCTGTGAATTGAAAGATCAGCAGTTTGAACCCACCCAGGAGAAGGAACAGGTGACCTGCTTCCATAAATTTTACAGCCAAGAAAACCCTATGGGGTAATTGTACTCTGCCACAAGGCTTGCTTGGAGCCAGCGTCAACTCAGTGGAATACAACAAACAACAACAGAACATCTAAATATATTTCAGGATTGGAAACACATGCATTCTACAAATAAAAGTCATGCAGCCAAAAAGTATATGATAATGTATTTTTGCTTTGATGTAAGTGTCCCTGGGCTCTGGGCTAAGAACCCAACATTTGTCTTAGCGCCTAACTGGCTTTGCTGTCCCCTGTGAATATCATCTGCAAAATAAAAGATTGGACTGGTAACCCTAAAGTCAGTTCTATTCTCTAATACATACTTACTGGGATGCTACATTTAAGGAATGATTTATTCATGAGATAAAAAATAAACTGCACCCTCCAAGACCGAAACTCAAAGGGAACACATGAGTAGGCATGTAATTTTGCTGGTGACCACATTCATCTACTGATGAGTGGAAGAGGGGGAAAGGCAGCAATGAAGATATGGACCATGTTCAACCATGTTCCACAGACTCCCATCAACCTGGAGATGAGAGAGAGAAGAGGAAGGGCTGGTTGGTCCAAAGTGTGGTGAGACCTGATGACTCTTGAGCCCACAGACAAAGACATAACCATGGAAGGCTAGAGCTGAGAGTGAAGCATCTAGCTGATAAGAAGTGAGGGTAGATGCACAAATAAACCCAAAAAAGGAAACAAGTGTAAATTCCTACAATTTGATTAACTTGACCTATATTTATGGATACAGTAGCTCAAAATACCAACTGAGAGGAAAGGATTCTTCACATCAAGGATCAATCCTATCCCCTCTGTATATAGGGTAGATAGGGATGGGCAACTTAGACATTGGCTACCTAAAATGGGAGGAGCTATAAAGGTATGAAGTGAGTGGCTTACAAGTTTTCAAGAGGGAGTTTTGTTTCAGAGTGTGTGGGCTAGAATCCCCACTAAATAATTTTCATCTTGTCTAGACAGGTCTGGTGAAAGGAAATGGGAATATAATTCTTATGATTCAATAGTGAATAATTGTTATCATGACTAATTGCAACTGTCACAAATGTAAAGGTAGAAGTTTTGTAACAAAAAGAGGGGAGTAGTTAATCTTACAGTCCAGGAACAGAGAACCTTAGGACCACCAAGGAAGAAAAGCACGAGCAGAATGTGAGACCTTATCCAGAAAAGCAGTGATACCAGAGACGGAGGCAGAGATGAGGACATGGAGAGAGGGAGCAGCTGAGGACTCTAGACTCATAGAAAGAGAAAGCCTGTGTGCTGGCATCCAGGTACTGGTGGTCAGGAGACAGGCTTGCAGAATGTGTCCTTTGGTTGTTTAAATGATTATATATTCCTGAGTGTTTCTGTGTACATCCCCTCCACACACACACACACACACACACACACACACACACACAGAGGGAATGGAAACAAATACTGTTGAACGATGATGCACAGAGGAGATTGTAATCATTGCAATGAAACAATGAGTGTAAAACTGATGTTCCCCCATGTAAACAATCACTCAGTTCACAATAAAAACTTAAAAAAAAAAAAAAAAAAGAAGAAGAAGAAGAAGAAGTGAACTACAGGAACTGTTTGATGAGGTGGTGTAGTTTTTTCCTCCAGAATTTTTATCATCCTTAGCTTCGTAAAGAAGAGCTTTACAGTACTTGTATCAACTCTATCTTTATACAAGTCTCATGCTGTATCTTAAGCCTGAGAAAGCACTAGATTCGTATGAAAAGATCCTAACCACAAATTCTCGTTCAGTTTACAGCATATTGATATAGAACGTTAGGGATATTTCTCTCTGCATAAAACATACAGAAATGTGTCTCTGCATCATCTTTCTAGGGCTCCGGCATGTCACAGACGACCAGATGACACACAAAAATCCCAGCCTGCGAGCCCAAGGAGGACAGACTCGATCTCCAGCCAAAAGTCACACCCCAGGCCCCACTTCTCCCAAAGCTCCCACTCCTCAGAAACATGCTCCTGTGTTCGAGTTGGAGGGAAAGAAATGGAGAGTGGTGAGTGATGCCCACAGATCTTTCATTTCTGACACCATCTGACAAAAGGACCAGTAGCTACCCACTTACCAGGATCTTAAGGATTTCAGAGCAAAATGATAGAGGCAGAAGGCTACCAACTAGAAGAGAAACCAAGCCATCTCTGAATGCTTCCACACGCTCTTAACCAGGCAGTAAGAGAAACCTGCAGGGACATTAACCATTAACCTGTGGGGAAATGTGTGTCCCATTCAGCTATAGGATGTTTGGTTATATCCCACTGATGGAGACACACACATAAGCAAGCATACCCTACTGCTGCCACTCAACAATCTCAGAGTAAATTGTGTGGACCAGACAAAGGTACTCTGAATATCAATGAAAGGTGATGCCCCTTGCCCATGAAGCGGCTTCCCTAAAGATTGAAGACCAAGAGGCAAATTGTCATTGAGTAGTTTCTAACTCATGGCAACCCTGTGTGTGTCAGAGTAGAACCATGCTCCGTAGGGTTTCTAGGGGCTGATTTTTCACCAGGCCTGTCTTCTGAAGTACTTCTGGGTGGCCTTGAACATCATCCTTTCCATTATCAGCTGGGTGCATTAAATCTTGACACCACCCAGGGATTCAAGAAAGTGGTCAGAAAATACATGGTGCTTAGACCTCTGTGTGGCGCTGTAGGATAAGCACTGGACCACAAGGTCAGTTTCAATCACAAGGCCGGTCATTCAAACTCACCAGCTGTTCCTCAGAAACACTCTACAGGGTTGCTGTTAGTCAGAACCAACTCGATGGCACTTAACAACAACAAGACCCTGTGTGTTCCTTCACCAGCCTATTTGCCCAGCTCCAACTAGACAGAGTCTGTTGTACTGCAGCATCATTTATTCCAGACTCAGCCAAAAGCTGTCACATTCCCACTCACCCCACCCATTACATTAGCCTGGGTGCCTGACAATCTGTCTGTTTGAAAATTGGCACTGACCTCCCAAGCAGTGATTTTTATCTGTTCTTATAGGTACAGTGACAAGGTAAGACGTGGCTTAGACTGTAAGAAAATGGTTCTGCCAGAAAGACTATATTAAAAAGCTATAATTAATGCTGAACTGCATAATGCAGAGTAACTTCAGTAAGCAGTGGACTCAGTCCTCATATTTTGCATGTGTTTTCATTTTAGGAATACCAAGAAAACAGAAATGACCTGGAGATCGCAGACACTGAGCTGAAACAAGTGGCTTACATTTTCAAGTGCAACAAATCTACTCTACAGATGAAAGGGAAAATCAATTCCATTACAATTGGTAGGGCAGACTCTGGCTCTCTCCTTACCATAAGATCTTTTTTGTAGAAGCACACTGTCATGTATTCAGTGGAGTTTGTTTTTGTTTTTTGTTTTTCCAGACAACTGTAAGAAATTTGGCCTTGTGTTTGACAATGTGGTGGGCATTGTGGAAGTGATCAATTCCAAGGACATTCAAATTCAGGTAAAAGCAGCCCTTACAGCCATGCTTTGCTCCCTCCCTCCACTCTGCCTGCAGGGGGCGCCCTTGATCCCCTTGTCTACCTAGAAAACTATTTCCTTACCTCAAGCTACTGCTCTCCTCTGCTTTCCTCTGAGGGTTTCCTCTAAGAACCCCTTTCGTATTTTTTGGTGTGACCTGTGACTGTAAAGTCAACTCCAGTACATGGTGACCCCACATATGTTAGAGCAGAACTGTGCTCCATAAGGTTTTCAATAGCTGATATTTTGGAAGTATGTTCCTAGGCCTGTCTTCCAAGACACCCAGGGTAGACACAAGTTTCCAACATTTCAGTTAGCAGCTGAGTGTGTTAACCATTTGCACCAAAGGCTCCCCTTAGTGTTACTTCCCCCTTTCCGATTCTTTTAACATCTTCCATTTTGCACTACAATTACTGGTTTACCATTGCTATTTCGAGACTAGAAATGGTGTTTAATTAGTATTTATAGCCTCAGAACTTTGCACATAGTTGTTCTTGTTGTTGTTAAGTGACATCAAGTTGGTTCTGATTCATAGCAACCAAACCTGTATAGAGTTTCCAAGGAGCAGCTGATGAGTTTGAAACTCCGACCTGGAGGTTCAAACTCACTTTGCAGTCCAATGCTTATTCTACAGCAAGCACCACACCAGGACATATAGTGGTGGTGATGGGTGGGGATGTGCCATGGAGTCGGTTCATAGTGACTCTGCATAGGGTTTCTGAGACTGTAAATCTTCACAGGAGTAGAAAGCCTCATCTTTCTCCCATGGAACAGCTGGTAGTTTCAAACTGCTGACCTGGAGGTTAGCAGCCCAACACGTAACCATTACGCTACCGGAGCACCTTAGGACACATAGTAGTGTCCAGTAAGTGCTTGATGAATGAGTGATTGGAATGAATGAATACAGATACAACGAGGGTCTCTTAGCACGCACCATCCTTCAGAAAACGTTTTTAGCAGGAGAAAATGGTTCTAGATAAAGAGGAGCTTTATAAGGAACCAGTGAGATTAATCTGAAGTACAAACCAAAATTCAGGGTCACTATTGAATTTACAAGACAGAAGAAAATCTGTATCTCTGCAATGATTTTGATTTTGCCAAATGGGATTTTACCATAGACTGAAAGTGAATAAACTTCGGTGCTTCAATCAACTCTAACTTCTATCTCTGTTCATATTGTTAATGACCCTTTACTCTCTGATGCTTCCCACTAATGTTTGTTAACATTGGTTTCTAGCTCTTTCCCTTTTGCTTGGGCAGGCTCTTGACTCCCGCCATCGTTATGTGAGCTCATTCAATTGTACAGTTTCCATCTTACTGTCACTTGGAGACCTGGTGTGGTGGTGTAGGGTAAGCACTGGACTGCTAACCATGAGGTCAAATCCACCAACCACTCCTTGGAAAGTGCTGGACTGCAAGGTCAGCAGCAGTTCAAGCTCACCAGCCAAACTGGTTCACTGTGAGTCAGAACCAACTCAATGGCACTTAACAACAATATTTAATGGGAATAGCCCTCAACTAAGCATCAAGGAGCTGAAATGGACTGGTGCTGGCCATTTTGAATCTGATAACCACATGGTTTACTATGC